GATGTGAAAGTTCGAGAATGACGTGGCGTGATACTAGTCACGTGACCTCGATGTCATAACAGTATACTTTAGTAAAACTTAGCGCATAGTATATGCATTTGTACATATGTTACTGGGAAATATTGTGGGCACCCAAATCAAGAGTGTTCTATCACAATATCAGCTTCAATTACGATAAAAATTCCAGTGGTTTCAAATAAGTTAGGTTTAGTTATAGCACATAAGCCACAGGTTTCAATTATCCGTTTCAGTCATAATATGAACTTAAAAAGGGGAGGGAAATGTTAGTATAAATAATTTATTTGTAGTTCAATCGAGAAAGCGTTAATCAGATATTTTAATACTGGTAGAAAAGGCTGCGCAAATAAATAATTAAATAAAATTTATTAAATAAATAAATAATTTTCAAACTTTTGTAAGAAATGATATAAGATTTCTGAACAAGAATTAGGTATCAACGATTTTAAATTATTTGAGAAATAAACTAGATGTACGTGTAACACTAACATTTCATAAAGAAAATTACAATATTAGTGCTTGTTATATTTGTTTCTGACTGAATTAAACAGGTCCGTGTACACAGTTTTATTATACACGACTGGCATTAAGCAGGAGGTCTAAATAGTCATAATTCTTGTTTAACCAGTCTCAGCTTTATAAGTTATAGACGTCAGTGGCTGGAAACTTAGCAACTTGTATAGGTTAAAGTATCATAATGAGGGCCAAGGGTTCAGAGGTTTGTGTGCACATGTGTCTGAATTCTAGTCTCAGATCGTTATTCATTTAGATGACACTGGTTGTATAAATCTTCAAGAATCTGATTCGTGAAATGCCACGTAACTGTAAATTAGTGTTGTAAAATGCATACAGTCTCGTTTCCAGCTTCTCTTAACTGGGGAGGTATAATAAAACATATAATTGAGCCAAATCTAAAATTAGATTAATGGACCGCATTAGTTTGAGTAGCCCAACGACATTTCAGGAGGCACAGCTCCCTCCTTGCTAGCGCCAGCCCTAGATTAGCGTCGTAAATGACGTAGCTAACCCCAAGACGTACTTATATTTCTGTCCATTTAATTAGATATTATTTTTTGTCAATGAATGGTATTATTGACCACTAATTTCAATAGCTATTGTTACGCATCCAGTCGT